TGTTTCAGACGCACAATGCGCGGGGGAATCACACTTCAGAGCAACATCACTGGATGCCCATACGAAGAAGGGACAAGGGGCTCTCTTGATCGCCGTCTGAAATGCCCCCGGTGCCGACGAGAATGCTACGTCCATGGGAGTGATACGGCTAACACGGCCAGAAGAGCCGGCGATAATCTTAGCAACCTGGACTGTCTCTGTGCGAATACAGCAAGGATTCATCACCTGCAGAATAATAGCCTCAAAACTCCCCGAGGCGGCAATATGTGTTGGACCTTGCCGTCGCTGCTACATACTAATCTGCGTGTCTGCTCGAGATGCCTCGCTCTTCGGCCCTAGGAAGTCGGCACTTGGAAGTTGGCCGTCCGCTGGCCGAAGAACTTCTGAGTTGCGACGCAATCTTGCGTCCAGAGGGGACGGCCTGATAGCAAACAAGGGAAGCTGAGTGAGCCAGGATGTAACCATGGCGCCATGCATTCCTTGTCGAATCGCAGCCTGGAAGCAGCAAGATGGCATCGAGATAGTAGCCTTGACAGCGCCAGTTTTTATGCACCGTCTCCTGGAGGGCCTGCCCCGGATAGCCGGCATTCGGCATTCGGTAAAGGCTGGACTATTCCGATTTTTTTTTCTTACCCACGCTGACCTGGCTCTCTCTCAACTCCTTCGACGATGGCTTGGACGGGACAGAAGCGGGTTAGCCCGCCCAAAGTTACGTATACCGTGGACATTTGTGCACTGTGAAATGCGCCTCCTTCGTGAGTGACCCGTGATGGTCCGTCTATCAACCTGCCGCTCCCCGAATCCCAGCCAGGAGTCTTGCTCAACAAACCTTTCCACTTCTTCGCTAGACGGAGCATCTTAGATGTTAGTGCGCCTCGAGGCGTTGCCAACTTGCTAGAAGGGCGACTCGACTTCTGTAGGCCCAACCATGACGGAGCAGCCACCGCGTCCGAAGCAGGCCGCATGCCTGGTGTGCAGGCGCAGCAAGATCAAGTGCGATTGGATGCCCTACGAGGCCAAGTGTAGACGCTGCATTCACCTGAATTGCGAGTGCATCCGCCCAGAGTTCCATCCCGGCCGGCAAAAGGGCATCAAGAAGCAAGCCTCCCCTAACACGTCCAGAAATCCCCATACTCTCTTTATAGATCAGCGACTGACCGGGTAGTAAAGCAAGCGGGTTGGGCTCGACAAGGCACTGTATCAGCTGCAGCAGGCTGTCAAGCGCGTCAAGTCGGGAGAGGCGCGAGGCGCCGAGGAGAGGAGCATTGTGGCCAGCCTGAGACAGTTGCTGGACGACGTAGAAGGAAACGAGGATGCGGCCGAGCACTCGTCGAGGCAGGGCTCGCGTAGCAACACGCAGGAGGAGGAGGGTGGCTCGACCTCGAGCGACCTCGACGAGGACAACGACAACGAGAACGACAGCGCGGGCAACCGATCCATGGCCGACTTTGTGCAGCGCACCGAGGAGAGCCTGGCCATTGACGACGCCGAGAACCCTCTGCAGCTGCTGGCGCGCGCGTCTTACTTCCACCCGAGTGATCGCCGGAGCCGAAATTCGCCCCAGAGCCAGCGGCAGCACGACGCCGCGTCGTCGAAGCAGGATCCCGAATCGACCCGAGTCCAGCAGTTCTTCTCACAGGCCAAGGTGAAGCTCGACATTGGCGAGGACCTCGACCCCATCGACTTGGGGCTCGTCACCATGGACGAGGCCGAGTCGCTGTTTAACTAGTAAGACAAGCTACCCTTCCCGGTGGAGCAGCCTGGTTGCTCCCGGCTTGGCATTGCACGGGAGGCGATGGAGGGAACAAGGAGAAGCACGTTGAGGCTCATGATTCGGTAGCTTTTATTCCAAGCTCGTGCACACGCGGTGGGGCCTCTCTCCCCGAGTCCATACGGCCACTTACACCCGCAGCCGATCTGCGTTCCTCTTTACGACGGTCATGGCGGCGTCTACGCTCTTCATGCCCTCTGCGGGCCCGCTGTCCAAGAGGCTGTTTAACCATGTCAAGATGCTGGCTCAGAAGGTAACGAACGACAAGTACAAGTCGGTAGAGATTGTCTTGGCGTTCATGACCCACATCCCCTGGATATTCCCGGGAGACCACACGATGGATGACGAGACGTGCATGTACATCTCGATGGCGACAACCATTGCGTTTGACCTGTCTCTGCATAAGGTGCTGATGCCCATGGATGTCTTGGAGTCGTCGACGACGGTATCAAAGGGAGAGTGCCTGGACCCACGGACCGCCCTTGCCATTGATGGGTTTCCAGACGTAGACCCGTGGTCCGAGCAGGGCCAGCTGTTGCTGCGAGCGCGGGAGCGATGTTACATTTCGCTCTTTGTCGTGGAGAGAGGGTGAGTGCCAAGTCTCCCCTTCCATCTGACCCTCGGCTAACACAGTGATTTTAGAATGGCGCTGGCTCGCGGTAGACCCTTCATGATTCCAATTACACGGAACATCAAGGATTGCGACACGTGGCATAGATCGCCCATAGCAGACGAGCAGGATGGGCCTGTAGCATCCATGGCTGTCATGAGACGGAACTTGGTAAGACTGCGATGCCATTCCCTTTCGATGTTCTTTGTATGCTGACTTTTGCAGGATGGGCTTTTCAACACAGTCCGGGCACTTTGCGACGGCTCTCAGAACAGCAACAGTGACGGGTCATTAGTGGCTCGGTCGTAAGTCGTCGCCCGCGTTTACTTGTAGCAGCAGAATTACTAAGTGATGCACAGGATTCAAGGAGCTATAGAAAGGTTCTTCGATCAGTGGCTAGCGGAATGGGGCATGATGATTGGTTTAGGTCCTGGTAGGTTTTCGATTGCATTGTCCAGGGAGCATCACCTACTTACTGCAGCCGCAGAACGTCGCCTCCCGCCATATGTAGACATTCTCGTCGCTCACACCCGCCTCTCGACGTACGGACGCATCATCAACCACCCGACGGCGCCTGTCGAGGTCCGCATCTTTTTCCGAACCGCTGGGTTATCGGCAGCGCTGAACGTGATGAGGGCCGCGATTCAGGGAGAGTCCCAACTGCAGTCGATGCCCAACAACACGGCCATTATGATTTCGTTTGCGGCGTGCTTTGCTTTGAACATTAGCGCGTATGCTCCAGACGGCTCCGGGCTTGCACCGAGCATCAGGAGGTTGATCGAAGAGGCCATTGGCGTGTTGGAGCGGATCGGAACAATCACTCCTCATCGCAACGGGCTCTCAGTGCTGTATGGGAAGCATCTCCGGCATCTGCTACGGATATCGGGATCGTCCAAGGGCATCCGACCGCCCAAGGCGCAGCGGACAACGCCGTCGTCATCGGAGCCGATGCAGGATACGCCGCCGGCGCTGCCGAGCAGCTTCATGGACCAGCAGATGCTGTGGCCCGACATGGTGCAGTTTTCGACCATGTCGGACGACCAGATTGCGCAGGTGTTGAATCAGCCGGGCAACGTGTTTGAGCCGTCGTCGTCGTTTGGGGGCAACATGTCGTGGGAAGAGATGAACAACTTTGACTGGCTGAACTGGCCGGCTTTCAACGCGAATTAGCGGGATTGCATAGGGAATCGTGGCGAGGATCTGGTTGGGCGGCGGATAGGGATTTTGTTTGGGAGTGAGCGAAAGGGCATGAATCATCTGTTTTATTTCTCTGTTTCGTCTTGATTGATCCAATTGATTCAATCGACCAACGAAAGCTTCATTGACTTGGCAAGATGGGTTCAGTAGCGGTAGCGACAGCGAAGCATATGTGCTGCGAAGCCAGCGCCGATAGGTATTCGAAGAGGTAAAAGACAAGAGTGTAAGAGGCGAAGCGCGTCAGACGCCCAACTTGGGCCGCGTTATATATGTAAGAATGGCGAATTGATCAACCGAAACATGTACAGAACAAACACAAAAAGTCATACGATTTCTTCCCAACGAGCCCTTGAGCAAGTTATAACACGCGTACTACTTGTTATACCCAAGGTAAGGTAGTTGAAGCAAGCAACCCCCAAGACTATAACATGCATGCATGCAGCCGAGCGGAAACCTTGGGCAGGCGAATGGAACATGGAAACAGCTTGGCGGGAACTCGGGTTGTGGGGGGGTGGCTGAAGTCGGCATTCAGATGTGTGTTCCGCCTGCTTGGGACTTTTTCGGAGGTTTTTTTTTGGTTGATGGGGTTTTGGAGATTGCAGATTTATGCGGCTTTGTTATGTCTGTTTTGTATCTTGAATAGACTCGGCTTTTGAGGCTTTGTTTTCTTGGGTCGTGGTTGTTTGGGTTGGGGGGGTTGTGAGGATTGGGTTGTATGATAGATATGCGGTGATGGAGTTTGGGGTTGGTCTTTGGTTTGGGTACTTGAGTTATGTTAACGGCCGTACCTTGATGACTCTGGCATACTTATCGCAAGTTATGTAAGTAAATCATTTCTTTGAGCAGAGCAGGTTAGTAGGTATGTTTTGCAGGGCTAGATGGACTGAGCTGAGCTTCCCAGTCTCTTCTCTTCCATCTTGCATAAAATCCCCGTCTGTATACGACTGTATCTTGCGCAACTCTAATTTCTTAATAGCCGAGGCCCGGCGCAACGGGGGACAATCAATCGATCTGACGCGGTTTTGCGGGTTGTCTTAGTGGGGAACGGGGGGGTTGAAAGTTCCATTTTTACCTCCGATTCCTTTGCGTAGAGTACCTTGGGTATCTCTTCGGAATCGATTGAGGCGGCTTTTGAAAGGCCGTGGACTGATTAAAGAGAAGAGAGAGAGAGATTTAGAGAGAGAGAGAGAGAGAGAGACTGTTTTAGTCATGACGAGGGAGGGTGAGAAGAGAAATGTGCAGGAGCAGTCGGAATTACATGTAGCCGTGGCCAAACCAACACCACGACACTCACCATCCGCTTCCATCTCACCAGCTTCACCTTTAACTCCTCCTCCTCCTCCCTCATCCTCGCCATCTTCATCATCATCATCATCATCAGCAGCAGCTTTGAGTGACAAGAGACGCCGACGACGACACACAATGTCGAAGCTCTCGCCCAGCCTCAAGGCGCTCATCAACGCGCCCTTTGCACGGCCCGGGCCTCACAGGATCGCAAAGGGCGCTGCGGCGGCGGCGGCCGTGGGGGATTTGTTCCGGGGGATTGCGGGCGAGGCGAGGGGGAACGGGGTTGGTGCGAGGGCGTGGCTGGCGATATCTGTGAGTTTGACTTTTCTTTCTTCCAGGGTTTCTGAGTTGTTGTTTTTTTTTTGGGTGGTCGAGGGTTTTAGTATGGGGATGATGAGGGGCTGAAGGTCCAGATGAAGATGAAAGGTTGAATATGAGGGAAACTTACATGATATCATGGGCTTAGGCTGCTGCCACGTTTACGCTCAACTCTCCCGATGCGCTATCTATCCTGCACAACGTCGCGTCGGCGGAGCGAGGGGATTCCCAGGCGGCACAAGTCCGCACGGCAGAGTTCATCCGCGAAGTCGGCCTCAAGTGCATCTCCTTCAACGGCATCCCGCGCACCATCAACTGCCTCAACGCCTTCCACGCATCACTCCCCCAAGGCATATCCTCTTGCTTGTCAACCAAGCCCTCCCGCACCCTCAGGTCAGACAACGTCGAGAGGGTAAAGAGCCGGGGAAGAGGGCTGTGGGACTCGATTTACGCCCCCTTTGAAGACAAGCTCGTCGACAAGCTGGGGACTTCGCACCCCGACCTGCCCGTGGTGATATTGAACTGCCATTACGGACCGCTGCTGTCTGATCCCGAGGGCGAGGACAGAGGCGTGGGGAGGGTGATGACGAGCCTTGTGGCGGTTGCGAGCCTGAGGGCGCAGACGGGGGTTGGGCCGCAGGTGCTCTCGCACGTGTTTGGGCTGCGCAAGGCTGTGGACGATGGGTCCTTTCGGGGGGATCTGGAGGTGCAAGGGGGAGGGGAGGAGGAGAGGGTGAGCGAGGAGGGGGTGAGGTGGCTTGCGGGGGACGAGGGCGGGGAGTGGGTGTTGAAGACGGTGGATAGGATTGTGGAGGGTTTGGGGGGGAGTAACTTTGCGGCGAAGCTGTGATGTTGCCGATAGAACTATGGCTGTATTTTCAGACACGTATAGAGTGGTGGATCTTGAGCAATCATGTGTAAACAAACAAGCCAGCTGTTGTTTTAAAACTATATAGTATTTATAGATCTTACAAGCCAACACTTGTACATTGTACGCTGAATGCCACTGTGTCCAGACATCTGTAAACCGCCGTATGTACTGATCCCAGCCATGCGTCTATCCAGTATGCCTTTCATAAACGCAGAAAAGAAAAATACCATGTTTTCCCTTTGCGGATATCTCCTCCTCTTATGTATGTATGCCTTCCCAATCCGTTTCGTTTCTAACCCTTTTATTGTACATCTCTATTCCATGCTGGTAATAACGTCCGCAACATCAAACGGCGCATCCGTTTTGCTCTTGACCTCCTCGACGGTCACGCCCGGCGCTAGCTCAGTGAGCGTCAAGGTGCCCTTTTCGCGATCAACTTGGAAGACGCACTGCAAATTCCCGTTAGCAAAACTCGTGCATAAGCAAGTAGAATCAGGGGAAGGAAAACTCACCAAATCAGTAATGATGGTGCTGACGCACCGCGCGCCGGTAAGGGGCAGGCTGCACTGCTTGACAATCTTGGACGAGCCGTCCTTGCAGAGGTGCTCGGTGGCGACGATGACCTTTGTGTTCTCCGGGTTGGCGACGAGGTCCATGGCGCCGCCCATGCCCTTGAAGAGCTTGCCCGGGATCATGAAGTTGGCGAGGTCGCCCGCGGCGCTGACCTGGAGGGCGCCGAGGATGGACACGTCGACGTGGCCGCCGCGGATCATGCCAAAGGACTCGGACGAGTCAAAGGTCGAGGCGCCGGGGACGAAGGTGACGGTCTCCTTGCCGGCGTTGACAAGGTCGCTGTTTTCAAAGACATTAGCTTCGACTGATTCCTTTTCGTCTTAAAAAGCATCAAGGGGGGACAACTTACGCATCGACCTCCTCGAGCGTGGGATGAGGGCCCATGCCCAGCAGTCCATTCTCACTCTGCAGCCACACCGTCCTCTCCTTGGGAATAAAGTTGGCCGCCATCGTCGGGATGCCCACGCCCAGGTTGACGTAGTATCCCTCCTTGAGCTCCTTGGCCGCCCTCTTGGCGATCCTCCTCTTGCGCTCGCTGCCCTTCTTCGCCGCGGCCGCGCCGTCGTCCTCCTCCCGCAGCTTGAGCGTCTCAACCTGCTTCTCGACCGTCGCCTGCACGACGCGGTCCACGTAGATGCCCGGCAGGTGCACGTCGTCCGGGTCGATGTCGCCCACGGGCACAATGTGCTCGGCCTCGACAATGGTCAGCTTGGCGGCCTTGGCCATGAGCGGGCCGAAGGCGCGGGTGGTGCGCCGGAAGACGCAGTTGCCGGCCGTGTCGGCCTTGTAGGCGCGCAGGATGGCGACGTCGCCGGGGAGGGCCGTCTCCATGAGGTACAGCTTGCCGTTGAAGGAGCGGGTTTCGCGCCTGTGGCCGTTTTCGAGGGGGGCGCCGCCGGAGGGGTTGTTGCGGATGGGGATCTGGCCTTCTTGGAGGAGGGTGTCTGCCAAATTCACAGTCAGCTTTCTTTACTTTTTTTCTGCAAGTGAGGGGAATTATGTGACGATGGGATAAGGCAGGGGAGGAAACGTACGGGCTCCGGTGGGCGTGTAAAAGGCGGGAATGCCCGCGCCGGCGGCCCTCAGGCGCTCGGCCAGCGTGCCCTGGGGACACAGCTCGACGGACAGCTTGCCCTCGATGTAGCCCTTTTCGAGGACCTTGTTGCCGCCCGTGTAGGACAGGATGAGGTTGTCGATCTGGCCGGACTCGGTGAGGTGGGAGAGGCCGCCGCGGCCTTCGAGGCCGGCGTTGTTGGAGACGGCTGTGAGGGAGTGGAGGGATTCGCGGCCTCGGCGGTGCAGCGCTTGGATGAGGGTTTCTGAATGGACGATTTGTTAATTAATCTATTTTCTTTGTTTTTCCCAATGATATCGTTGGGTGTTGCGATGTGGTCTCGCCATCGGGGTGACCGATGTAACGGGAATCACGAGATGGCGACTTATACGGGACGATGATTGCTAACGTACCTGCAATACCACACAGCCCGAATCCCGAGCTCAACAGGACGGAACCGCTCTTGACGTCGGCGACGGCCGCATCAGCGCTCTCGACGACTTTTGACTTCGGCCGGACTTGTGACTGTTGCTGTTGGGAGAAGCGGAAAGCTGTCGTGGAGAGGAATCTGCCCCTCGGGCGGCTGACTTGGATTCTAGGAGTCTGGAGGAGCTGTGCCGAGACGGTGGTGATGAGGGAGCGGGCGCATCGCGGTGAGGCTCGTGGCAGGGCTGCCTTGGGGTTCATCGGTCGGCGTAATACGGTGGCCATTGTTGTGCTTTTCGAGGTGTGTTGAAAATGGGTATGGAAAAAAAAATGTGGTCGTCGTTGGTATTTGTATAAGATGATGCAATGAGAACTCAAGTGTGGCTGCAACTCTAAAGGGCGAGAAGGGTGATGCCGCAACTTGTTTATCTAGTTGTCGAACACGGAGCACTTGAAATTGCAAATAGACAATGAGGTATTATATATGCAAAAGAATGTGGATTCCGGCCGTTTATCAATGGAGAAAGCAGTTTCAATAGCCCAACAATAAGGAGCGCAAGAGTCCGTGCAAGGCGATTGTCCTTTTTCTTTATATCGTGCTCGGCTCGGCTACCGTGAGGGTGCTAAAAACGGAACTTGTTCGGGAAGTCGGCCGGTCGGCCGGAAGCTAAGGAGCTGCATAGAACAGGTACCGTGTGGGGGGATTTGTTCGGAATCGGACGTTTTGTGGCTTTTGACGCCTCGGTGGCGAAGTGACGTGACTTCACTGTGGAGGGCATATGGCGAGGCTGAGATGATGTGATGGCGCTGATTGGGGGTTTTGTGTGATGAGCAAGATGTATGATGATGCTCGAATGCTCTCGTGCTCAACGTGGGAAGTCTGGATGTTTCTGCATGCTTCTTCCTCCGGCCCGACGGTGTAGAGGTGTATGGCATACATACCGCCTTCACCGAGATCGAAACACGGCGAGTCATGAAGGACCTAGCTTAGAACACGCCAAATCCAGAATACTATAAAAAATTCTACAAGCACACGATCTGAAAAACTCCATAGAAGCTCCTCACCACGAGTCATGATTCCCCAATTGGCTTGACCCTGACAGCTCGCAGCCTCACCCAGTTTCAACGCCTCCTTTCCTCCAGCCGGCCAATCGGCATTGACTCCTTTCTCCATCTCCGATCTACACCAAATCTTACCCCATACACACAACGCACACCAACTCCAGGTTTCCCCAGCACGCCACGCTCAAGACATGAATCAACCTCCCTTTCCCATGTCCGGACGTGACTCGTGAGAGTTGTAAAGTAATGCGGGGCAGAACACCTACTACGTGTGCTGTGCTTTACTAGTATGTGTACCTACCATTAATACACAACTATATGCATGTTGCGGCGTGATTAGATAGCTGCCCTGCCTTGCATCCATTCCCTCGACTTTATTCCAAGACCCTGCCGGTAAAAAACATGCTGACTCCTCATTCCTCATCCCTGCAAAATCCGGGGGCGGCAATGCACGCAGGCAGCGGGGGAAAATAAGGCTGGGGAAGTCTGCTCTCGGACTTGCGCCATCCACTTCATCTGGTCACAGTTATACGATCCCCCCGAACATATCACTTGCACACGCGCGTCTGTGGTTCGCGATGAAGGCCGCCTCCGACAATGAAAATGAGAAGCACGATGCAATTGACTACGAGGTTGAGAATGCGCAGGATCTGCGGCGCACGGCGGCTCTGACCAAGAGCGTGCTCTTCAAGATGGACACGAGGTAAGGGCCTGAAGGCTTTTCTCCCTCACCAGCAAAACGCGTTGTATATGTATACACACTCGGAGTTCGAGCATCGTGAAGCTCACCAACCCGCTAGAGTCATGCCCATCCTGGCCCTCCTCCTGCTGTGTTCATTCCTCGACAGGACCAACGTCGGCAACGCCAAGATACTCGGCCTCGAAGCCGACCTCGGCATCTCAGACGAGCAGTACTCGCAAGGCCTCGCCGTCTTTTACGCCACCTACATTGCCTGGTCCGTCCAGCTCAACTCACTCACCCACTCACTCCCTCTAGAAGTAGTAACTGTCGCCAACTGACTGACTTGAACCCTCATCATGACAGCGAGCTCCCCAGCAACCTCGTCCTCAAGAAAGTCTCCCCCCGCATATGGCTCCCCTCGCTCGCCGTCGCCTGGGGCATCATCACAATGTGCCTCGGCTTCGTGCGCTCCCTGGCCAGCTTCGCCGCCGTGCGGGCCCTCCTGGGCGTCGCCGAGGGCGGCCTCTTCCCGGGCATCGTGCTGTACCTGTCGGGCGTGTACACGCGCGGCGAGCTGGCGCTGCGGCTGGGCTTCTTCTACGCGGCGGCCTCGCTCTCGGGTGCGTTTGGGGGCTTGCTTGCCAGGGGCTTGTCGGCAATTGGGCCGAGCGGGGGGTTGGAGGGTTGGCGATGGATCTTTATTGTCGAGGGGCTGCTGGTGAGTTTTCTTTTTTTTGGGTGCTGGCTTATGAAATTCTTCTGTTGGTTTGTGGATGTGGTTAGGCTGATGTATGGTCTCTTCAGACGGTTGCTTCGGGGTTGATTGCTTTTGCTGGACTGCCCAACGACGTTGCCAGCGCGTGGTTCCTTTCGACGGAGGAGAGGGACTTTGCCGCGCAGCGACTGGCAAACGACAGCGGAGGACGCTTCAAGTGCCGTTTTCCTCCCCCTTTTCCCATCCTACAATGGAGTAATACTAACGACACCTCCCAGCCCAGCGCGCGAAGCCGAGGAGTCGTTTAAGTGGTCCGAAGTCAGGCGCGGCATCTTCAACGTCCAGATCTGGCTCACGTCGACGGCCTACTTTGCCCTGCTCTCGGGCGTTTACTCCTTTGGTCTTTTCGTAAGTATATATATACATATATATATACACATATAGAGAGTCCCGGTTGCTGTATGGAACTTGTTGCTGACCTGTCAAAGCTGCCCACGATTGTCAACGACCTCCACATCACGACGAACGCGAACAAAGTCCAGCTCTGGACCGTCATCCCCTACGCCGTCGCAACTCCCACCACCAGTTCGTTCCCCCCCATCAACATAAAACCATTGACATGCCCCCGTATGTCTCGTGTCATGCTGCTAACCCCGCATCTCACAAGTCCTCGTCGCCTTCGTCTCGGACAGGGTCAAGCTCCGCGGCGCCCCTATGCTCGTCATGCTGCCCGTCTCCATCGCCGGCTACGCGGCCATTGCCCACGTCCAGTCCGCCGGCGCGCGCTTCGCCATGACGTGCCTCATGGCCATGGGCATGTACAGCTCCGTGCCGTGCGTGCTGGTCTGGAACGCGAACAATTCCGCCGGGCACTTCAAGAGGGCGACGACTTCGGCCTTGCAACTAGCCGTGGCCAACTGTGGAGGGTTTGTCGCGAGTACGTTTCTCTTTCTCTCCCTCTCCCTCCCTCTCTCTCTCTCTCTCTCTCTCTCTCTCTCTTTCCTTTTCTTCTTGTGTTGTATATCGATAGCCTAATGGCTGACGCCTTTTGTAGCATTCATATATCCCAACAAGGACGGGCCCGTCTACCTCAGGGGACACTCTGTTGTCCTGGGACTCTTGTGTTATGCCTGGTTCGCGTAAGCAACAATCTTTTCTTTTCTTTTCTTTCGTCTCAACCCTCCCCCCCCTTTTTTTTTTCTTTTCTTTCTTTCTCCATCCCCACGACTGACAGCGAAATGGTAGTGTGTTGGCCAACCTGCTTTATTGCGCCAAGATGAACCGAGACAAAAAGGAGGGCAAATACGACCAGTACACGGGCTGCGGCGACGACCGCGACCCTCAATTCGACATGATTCTGTGAATGCTGCACTCTGTTTTGTTTGGAAGTTGTACCATTATAGCCAGCGAGTTAGCGTTTCATTTCTTTCGATGAATGCACATTATCTATTTCCAATTTGATCCCTCAACTTTTTAATCTATCAAACCCCACGCATCATGTGAAAAACACAGCAAAGAGCCAAACCCCTCCCATCTCACATCTCACCCAAACAAAACCCTCACCACCTCCTCAACCTCATCCTCGTTGCCAAAGATGATGCCGCCCCTCTCATCGCACCCGCCCACCCGCCTCTCCAGCACCCTCCTCCCCTCCTCGTCCACCGCCCTGCCCCCCGCGCACTCCACCGCCAGCGCCACGGGGAGGACCTCGTACAGCCTCCTCAGCTTGGCCTTGCTCGCCTCCGCGACGGGCGAGACGTACACGCCGTGGCCCTTGTTCAGGACGTGGCCCAGGTCGGGCACCAGGCCTCCGCAGTACCGAAGGGTGTACTTTTTCGCGATGAAGGAGGAGATGAGGGTGGCGTAGGCGGGCGAATCCGCGGCGTGGCGCAGGTTGGCAGGCGCAAAGTATCGCGTCTTGTAAGGCGGCGCGGACAGCTTCACGTTGGGACGAATCACCTCCACGCTGCCGTCGTCATCCAGCCCCAGCTCGAAGCAAACCCCCTCGGCGTCCTCTGCACTGTCCCGCACGGCCACAATCACCGTCGTCCGCGGCCCGTGAACGCCCATCAGCGAACAGACCTGCTCCCTCGGATCCTTGCCCAGCGCCGTCTCCCCCTTCCAGACCCCGACAATCGTGCCCACGGTCCAATTCGCCGCAATGATGGAGCTCCCGTCCAGGGGATCAAACGCCACGGAAAACCTCTCCTGCGAGGTCACGGCGCCGGAGGGCTCGTCCTGGTGCAGCATCTGTTTCTCTTCAGGGTCCTCCTCGCTGCTGGCGGAGGCGACGAGGGGGCACTGCGCGAGGGCGGCGCGCATGATGGCCTCGCAGGCGACGTCCACGTTGAGCTGGTCGTCGCCAAAGGAGTTTGCGGAGCCGGCGAGGGAGACGCGGTGCGAGGAGCGCAGGGCGAGGCCGATCTGGGAGAGGGCGCGGAGGAGGGGGGGCAGGAGGGAGCTGGTGAGGGCGTGGATCGTGGGGGAGGGGGAGGTGGTGAGTTGCGGGGGGAGCCATTGCGGCTGCGGGGAGGGAGGAGAGGCCATTTTTTTTTTTTTGGTTTGTTTGAATTGGAGATGGATTTGAGTCTTTCAGATGAAAGGAGTGAGTCTTGGTTGACGATGATGGGGAGGTTTGATGAGATGCGGGTTTTTGGTGTTGGTGGGGTGGCGATAAGCTTAGTGGGACAGGAGATGAGGACCAGACTCTTCCGTCATTATGGATGTTGATGTCAAGCTTAGTTTACAGCTGCAATTGAGGGACCAAACATGACTTTAGCTGGCTGTTATCGTAATGAAGTTTGAAATTGATATAGCCACTCAGCCAATACATGGTCGGTGGTTATTGTCAGAGTCAAGGGACGGCATCTGGAAGCATCTACGGCGAAGGAACTGCATCAGTTGGATGTGATGGTAGCAATAGAAACACTGCTATACTACCCTTCTACTACCTAGAATGCTCTATCTAGATACCAGCTACGAAGCTCAGATGTCAGATACACAGACCATCATCACCTACCGGCAGCATGCGTCTTCCTCAGATTCGCCGGGTTCGCCACAAACGCAGCAGCAACCCCCAGGCCCGCCACCAGCGTCGTCGCCCCAAAAGCGAGCTTCAGCCCGTCAAAGTACACCAGCCGGGCCTGCAGCTGGATGTCCGGCGGGAGCGTCCGCAGGGCTTCCACCGAGTGTCGGATCTCGTCAATGACCTAGCAAACCCCTGCGTCAGTTTTTTCCTCGCAACGCTTTGGAAAGTTCTTATATGTAGTAGTATTTGAAGCATTGACTGAAAGAAAAGGGTCGTACTCTCCATTTATCTGGTACCTCGCTCAGGACCTGCGGTAAGCGTACGCTGAGCGTGTTCTGCACAATGGCCGAAGCGATGGAGACGCCCCAGACGGAGCCGAGGGATCGGATGAGGTACGTGGTGGAGGCGGACACGGCGTGGTCTGTACATGAGCGTTAAAACGAAGTGAATGTTCAAAAGTGGCCGAGACTTGTAACAAGAGTCGTTGTATCGAGAATCAGGAAGAAACATACCGGAGTGGGCGTGAGACGCAATCGAGATGAACAATATGGCCGGATACACGATGCCTGTACCCAGGTGAGACGGAAAGATGTACACGACGTACTTCCACCGCGCATCAGAAAAGGCCCACGAAGAGACCAAGGCCTGGCCGACGGTCATGAGAGCGAGGCCGGTGCGCATCAGGGGAATCAGCTTCCCCCAGCGAGACATGACCGTGCCGGCGATCAGGCCGCCCAGGGGAATCGCCAGCGAGGGCACTGCGAGACGGACGCCCGCTTTGGTGGCCGAGTCTTGGAGGACGGCCTGGAAGAAGAGCGGCAGCATAAAGAGGTACTGTTCGATATACGAGAGCAGTCAGTAAAAGAGTTTCGTGTGTAAAGGGGGGGGGGATGTGAAAGAACGAGGCAAAGAGAAAAAAACCAACCCCGTACGAAGACATGCCCGCGCAGATATTCGCAATCTGCGTCGCAACCGGCATCTTCCCCCTCAGCATCCTCAGCGGGATAACCGGCATCGCCGTCGTCCTCTCCTCGACCCTCACAAACACGCCAAACAGCACCACGCTCGTCGCCAGCGCGCCAACCACCCAGGGGCTGCCCCAGGGCAGCTCATTGCCGCCCAGACTGAGCCCCAGCAGCTGTGTCGACACGGCGAGGACCAGCAGCAAGGCGCCCGAGAAGTCGACCCTCTTCCACAGTGCGCTGAAGCTGCCGCTGCCGCTGCCGCTGACGTCTGTGGTGGTGGAGGATGAATCGAGATGCTCGTTCTTGAGGACGACGTGGCCTGCAAGGAGGGCAAAGATGGACAGGGGCACCTGCAGGAGGAAGCACCAGCGCCAGCCGAGGGAGTCGGCGATTGTGCCGCCGAAGGAGGCGCCGCAGATGGCGCCGAAGCCAAAGACGCCGTTTTGCATGGCCTGATACATGCCGCGTCTATGAAAGGGGATCATGTCCGAGTTGATGATCGTAGCTTTTACACACCAAGCCCCCCAGCATCAGCGCAAAAGCCCCCGTACAAAGGAGAACAACTAAATTCGTCAAGGCAAACTCACCCATGGTCATCAAGCCCGCCCCTCCCACCCCCGTCACAGCCCTCATCCAATTCAGCACAACCACGTCCCGCGCGAGCCCGCACCCCAAGCACCCCATCGCGAACACGGCCGTCGAGACGAAGAAGCACGCGCGGCGCCCGAAGATGTCCGACACGCGCCCGTAGAGCGGCTGGAAGGCGGCGGCGGTGACGAGGTAGGCGGTCGTCAGCCAAGAGGCGCTGTTGGCGGCGTCGAACTCGGAGCTGATGACGGCGTAGGTGGCGGCCGTGATGGTGCCGTCGAAGCCGTTGAGGAAGACGTTTGTCATGATGGCGAGCTGGATGGGGAGGAAGCCCGGGGGAGGGGACCATGAGGCTGGTGGTGAGGGTGAGGGTGAGGGTGAGGATGGGGCAGCATGGGGGGAGAGCAGGAGGGGAGTGGTTTCTTGTTGGCTTTCGATGTCGTGGGGTGGTGATGGGGAGGACGAGGGAGGGTTGGGGGTTGTTGTTGAAGCCATTTGTGCGGGTTGCTGTGTACGCGAAAGAGAAGGAGACGAAAGAGTTGGAAATCTGTGTTCGACCCTTTTTCCAGAAAATGGTTGAATCTGATGTTATATATGAGTTATGCAAGTCACATCGCGCATTACACATCCGTTCCACCAATCGATCCCATGCCGTGCATCCACGATCCGCACCCCAAGCGCATTGCACCATCGCCTCGTGCCGCTTCGTGATGAGGCCCCCCCCCCCCCCCCCCCCTGCTGGTAGCGACATCGGGCTTTTGATTAGCTGCCAAACGAGGAATACACGTAAAAACGAGAGAGCACATTCTACGACTGCCGATGGCCCGCTTGCATCTCGTCTTACTCCTGAATTTGCAGCAAACAAGTCCGACTTATACTTAAGCTTCAAGCACACAACAACCACACACACACACACACACACACACACACGCCCCCTCATTTCTTCGCCTCAGCCTTCATCCCCTCCTGAACCCACTTCCTCGTCTCCTCCGCCTTCTTATCCATCTCCTCGGGACTCAGCTTGGCCAGCTCAAACGCAGTGTGCGGCTTCGGCACGTGCCGGCCCTGCTCGAACCCGGGCCTCTCCAGCAGCGCGTGCAGCCACTTGTCCAGGTGAGGGAACTCGTCCAGCGAGACACCTGCCCAGGCTATATCCATCCATCCAATATCAGCATCCAACTCATATGGAAACCCCGAAAGGGAGTTGAGATTTTGGTGGGGTGAAGGATGGGCATCAAGGACTTACCGTGAGCGGCAACCCAGCCCCAGGACGCAATGTCGGCAATCGTCACGCGGTCGCCGACGAGGTAGCCCGAGGTGGACTTGGACAGCTGCGTGTCCAGGACGGAGTACAGGCGGCGCGTCTCGTTGGTGTAGCGGTCGATGCCGTACTGGATCTTCTCGGGGGCGTATCCTGCAAAAGGGACCCTCATCAGCACTCAATCACTCACTCACTCACTCACTCACTCACTCACTCACTCATCCAACCCACAAGCCCCCTATCTCAAGAGTGATAAAACTCACGGTTAAAGTGATTCGCCTGTCCCTGCATCGGCCCCAAACCACCCATCTGCCAATGAAGCTGCAAAACGTGTCAGCAAAACATACTCCTCAAACACGACACACATCTCCTTTCGTGAAGGGAAAAAAAAAAAAAAAAACTCACCCAGCTGTTCACCTCCCACGTCTCCTTGGAGTCCCTCGGATACGAAACCTTGTGGTCCTTGTCGTACCGGTCCACGAGGTACTGCAGGATCGCACCGCTCTCAAACACGCGGATCGTGCTCCCGTCGGTCCACTTGTCCGTGATGGCGGGGATGCGCCCGTTGGGGTTGATGTCGAGGAACCACTGCTCCTTTTGCTCGTTTTTGCCCAGGTCGATGTTGCGGATCTGTTGGGGGGCGCATTAGCCAACCCATTATCGCAAGCTGCGACTTGTTGTGTGTAGGGTGCTTTTGCAATCATTGTATGTTGTGAGGGATGTGTGAATGATCAAGGGGCAGACTGACCTTGTACTCCAAGCCAAGCTCCTCCAGCAGAATCGACACCTTGATGCCGTTGGGCGTGGCGGCCGTGTACAGAACGATGTCAGTCGGGATGCCCATCTTGACGCTGTTTACCAATTGTCTTGCTAGTTGTGCTACACGAGCTGCTGGCAGAAAAGAACGGGCCACTTGTTCGTCGTTTGTTGTCGAGAGAAGGAGAATCAAGTTCTTGAGCGGAGTGCGAGCCAGCACACATATATATACTACATGTAACTACTACTGTGGTTCAGAACTGCGTATGTACTCATGTCGACCGGTATGGTAGAAAATGATTAGCCTCCAATGAGGTAATAGTTCGTCCTACCTATACGACCAACCTATACGACTATACGAACCAACAGGACGCACGGATTCGGCCTCCAGCCCGGTATTTCTCAGCCCACGAAATAGTTGACCCGGCCCCCTCCTCCTCCCCAATATTCTGACTTGGAGCCATGGAGAATTGCTTAGAAATCGGGTTGTGGCTCTTCGAACATGAGGGTCAATAAGTCAACGACGGGGTGGAAACCCCCACTTGAAGAGCGCCCCGCGAATAGCATGCATACATGTCACCACGATTATTCCGAATTACCGCGTATTCTGTTTGCATCGCGCCAAGTCGAGGGGGGATGGAAAGAATGGATGGATGGAAGGATGGAAGGATTCCGGTTGCTGAGAAAGCAAGTTGGTGTTTTGGCTGGCTGCTTATCATCAAGATGGGCTTTTGTGATGGGCGTGTTAGTAATGCTGCTTATGCGGGATGAAAAGGGCAGAGAGCTTACATGTACGTACCTTATGAAGACAGTGGACATATACCTACCTACCTACATACGCATCATCTACCTAATGCTGCAAATGCCAAGTTTCATTTGGAATCAGACGGGAATATAAGCAAACATGGTGTTTGTTCTTTGCGTAAAATTCATGTATGCATGTTCCATCCTGCACCGTAGATGGGGGGTTTGTGATGTGATGTGCGTTTCGCGATTGAAGATCCGGATATAGTCAACGGCAGTTTCAGCCTGTTGTCCACAACATCACACGGATTTTCTACCTCAGTGTATACTCTCAACCCCGACCGTATCTACCTCATATGCCCAAGGTATCTACCCATGTACTTTGCACGTCCAATATGCAAGTAGTAATGACAAAAGCCCACTCCACGAGCCATGTAAAACGTCAACTTCAACTTGACAGTTATTCTACCGTTCAATCATCACCAGCCTCACACATAACAGCAAGAAACATAAAGAAAACCCCAACACACCCACCATCCCAAAAAGCACAATCTCTCCCCCCCGCGCGCTACACCTCACCAAACAATCCCACAACACCAAACCATACACATCGCACCTCCCAATCGCCAATCCCCATCTACCCATCTCAAACAACAAAGAAGCAAACAGAGACAAAGCCCGCCAAACATCAATCGTCATACAAAGACATTATTAAAAAAAAAAAAAAAAAAAAAAAAATCCTTACGTCTCACATACATAGCAGGCCAGAGTAAAATCGCAGCTTGCGGATCTACCCGAGCATAAACTTGTTCAAGACCCCAGAGTACAGGCAGTTGACGCCACGAAGTCATCAAACCCCAAAACATAACATACCTACATACTACCTACCTACACGCTACAACAAACTGCCCGAATCTTACCTTACCCCAGCCCGCCCCTTCTTTTCATCCATCTCACCTTCAGAGTTATCCCCGTTCACACTCACATCCCTCCACACATCGAAAAGAGAGAGCAGATGCCTTCCATTCTTTATGTTCATATTCATATTCAACCTCTGCAAGATTCGCAGAAGTGCTAGCTACAGAGTTGTCTCAACGACTCATCAAGGAAAAAGCAAGGTAAATGAAAAGGAAAAGATGACAACAAAAGAAGGAAAATTCAACATCCAGACCAAGTGAAAGGGGGAAAAAAAAGTCCACCAGAATATTCATCAAGTCATGCCGCGTCCCTGCGCGCAGTCGTTACGGCTCTATCCAAAAATGCTTGGTAATAGCTCGCTCGCTCGCTCGTCGCTCTCGTTCTCATCATCGCTCGCTATCCAATCTTGCATCCCAATCTGTTTCTCGTGCCCGTGTCTATAAAGAGCGAATGGTATCCCTGGGCTTCGTCATAATGATATAGTCCTCCAGAAAACGCCTTGTAGCACAGCTCAAGGGACTGGTTCCCGCTTCTTGTGCGCATGCATAAAAGAAAATCTCCCCCCCACGCCGAGGTGCCGAGTCAACGCTCCACCTCCTGTGTCCTCGAGCATCAAGTTCGACAATCTTGGTAGTATGAACGTCGTTTGCGAGGAAAGATAAAAGGAAAAGGGAAAAGTAAAAAAGATTGCCAACATCAGGCGTATCGTTTGTAAAGGGAAAAGCCATCATCCCATATCGTGGAAGCACACCAGTGCACTCCGCGTAAATGTTGTAGTCGTAAGATAGATCATTCTCGTAATATGAAACCAAGCTGGAAAAAAGAAACGAAGGTCGACTTCTGGGAAATTCCAAACAAAAAGAGTTGATTTGTTGCATGTAAACAGTTCTGTTAATAAAAGTCAGGGAAGCTCCAAGACTTCCGTGGGGGCGGTTTGTCCTCGGCATAATATCGCTCGGCCAGAACCAGAAAGAGGTCGTAGACGGGGAGTAACAGCAGAAAGAATATGAAATGAAGTATAAGAATGGAAGACCAACGCCGTCATGCGTACGTGTACTCTTCACGTGGCTTCTGGTGGTGGTAGGCGGAGTAGTGGACGTCGTCGTACCCGTAGTTCTTGGACGTCTTGACCTTGGCAAACTGGCCAGATCCCCCCGAGGTGGAATAGCTGGTATCGCGGGCCGGCATCGCGGGCCGGCTGTCGTAGCCAGAGGAGTAGTGCGCATAGCGCTCCGGCTCCGGTTCGGGGCGGCGGCTGTACGATGTCTGTCGCTCGTAGGGATATCGGGACTCGGTGTATACTGGATCGACGGAGTGCTCTCGCCTGCCGCCGTGATGCCTTCGGTCTCTGGCACGGTGGTCATGGACCTCGTCCGAATCCTCCTCGTCAATTTGCGACTGGAAACGCGTACGGTTTCGCCCACGAGGGTCGGTTCCGTCTCCGAAGTTGTAGGTCTGGGAGCGCGTGATGGGCACAGCTCGGGGGTAGCTTGCATCAGCTGGCATGGTGTTTGTCCTGGACAGATGAGGAGGCGAGCCGGACATGGGAGGATGCGCGTGGCGGCTGTTGGGGGAGGCGCTCATGACGACGGGCTCGGCGGGGATCGGCTCCCTCGACGACTTTCGATACCTGTCTCCGCCGGGGCGGTTGCTTTCCGTTGAGCCACGGCGAGGCCGCGCGGCCGAACGACGAACGTCGTCGTCGTGGGGAGCAGCAAAGGGGGATGGCTGGTTGGGAAGGGGTGGGGGGGTAGGGGCTGCGGGAGGCTGGGCCATCCGCGGGCCGTACGTCATGGATCGCTTCAGGCCGCCGGGAGCAACGCTCTCCTTGGCCCGAGCTGCCTCCATGTAGGATTTGGCGTCCTTGATCTTGGCATGGGTATCCTCCCAAGAAGATGACGGTTCCGGGGCGGCCGGCACAGTTCGCGGGAGCTCCACGTACTTGCTGGTGGCATACTCGGTAAAGGAGCGAACAGGGGCCGGCGCGGGGGAAGACACCACCGGTATGTCGTCGCGGTGAGACGAGCGATCTCGGTCACGCTTCTCATCGTACTTCTTGCTCGACGATGACGACTTCTTCTTGTCAGACTTGGCAGCGGGAGCAGCCTCGTCGCTGTAGTCCTCCACGTAGGTAGCCGAGGGCTTGGTGTGCTTCTTCTTGTCCTCGGACTCGCGCTTGATGTCCTTGTCGCGCTGCTTCTCCTTGGCTCTCTTCTCTCGGCGGGCGTCCTTGGCCTCCTTGGCCTCCTTTTCCCGACGAGCAGCCTCTTCCTTGTCGGCCTTCTTTCGGCGCTCTCGATCCCTTTCCTTTTCCCTGGCCTCGCGCTCAGAATCCCGTTTTGAGCGGCCGTCGACGTAGGTGGTCTCGCGTCTGGTCGCGCGAGAGGAGCCAGTCTGGTAGACTCGAGAGCTGAAGGTTACATCATCCTCATAGGATCGCGGGTAGGTATACCCCTTTGCGGGCGGGGGGACATTGGTGGCCGGCTTGTAAGACGAGGCGCGAGGAGGCTCGGCGGTGCGGATCTCGTACTCGGCGTACTTGGAATTTGATCGCGGGGTGGAAACAGACGTCTTGCGGAGCTGCTCCTTGAGCTCGGCCAGCTTGACCTGGTCGTCGTACTTCCTGCGTTCCTCCTCATCGGTGAGCAGCTCGTAGGCCTGCTGGACCTTTTGGAACTCCTCCTGCTTCTGCGCCTTGAGGGCGGGATCCTGCACCTTGTCGGGGTGACACTTGAGGACCAGCTTGCGGTAGGCCAGCCGAATCTCCGCTACTTGCGCATCCTTGTTGACGCCGAGAACTTTGTAGTGATCCGGGAGAGGCGTGGAGCTCATGTTGGGATGGCGGATGGAGCAAAGTGGACGGCAGAGGCGCTTTTAGCGGCGGATGAGGCTTATTTCGAGTTCTGGGTTATAGGAGGTTGCGGGAGGCGGCTTGCATCGAGCCCTGGGCGACGGCGATTGAGGCGAAAACAGTCCCCAAATGTCTGCTGGACAAGCTGCGAATGTAGAAGAAGGAAACAGAAGACGACAAGGTCACAGTTTGCTCGAGATGATCCCGAGGAGGCGACTTTGCGAAGCAGTGACTCGGTCGAGGGCTGTATAGGCGGTAATGCGGAAAGGCGGCGAATCACAGCAGGCCGGGCAGCGCAATGGAATGCCAGCCGCCGCTGATTTGCAAAGGAATGACAGCTTTCCAGAGACGCAAGAGAAAGGCACAAGGAAAGTGGAAGGAAATCAGACGAGCGACGAAAGGGGGCAGAGGAAGAGGGAAGAGGGAAGAGGGATGACGGCGGGCAGACGGTGGACAGACAGATGCAACGAAGCACACAAGGCTTGCAAATGCAAATGCAAATGCAAATGCGAAAAAGGGAAGCAAGATCTGGGCCTGGTCCCTTTTTTTGGCTTTCTTCCTTGCGGCCTGGCCTGGACTGAACCTGGGAGAGGGGATTGTTGCGGTGCTTGTAAGGTAAGGGAAGTACCTCGTCGGGTACCTCGTCGTGTACCTTGTCGCCTGTACCTTGGGCCTGAGGGCGGGCAGAGTCGTTGAGGTCACGGGCCTGGGCAGCGCTGCACGCCGTGATTCGCCCAGCGGACGGAAAACCGGGCCAGGGGGGGAGCAGCTGCTTGTGCGAGTGGGAGGGACGGGCAACGCTGGGAGGTACCGGGTACGAGTTACCAGGCCAGGGACGGGTGCAGGTACAGGTACGCGCACAGGTACGAGCACAGGCACGAGGTGCTGCTCTGGCGCTACTACAGTAGTGCTGGCAGCGGAGCGCAGAAAAGGAGGGGGGCGAGTCTTTTCTTGGTCGAGTCGTGATGGTGCCTCAGCTAGGTCGGATCCGTCCTGCTAGCCGTGGACGAACGATGGATGGATGGTGGGGAGGCTCTGGTGCTGGCTGGTGGGCTGTGGATGGTGAGATGTCGTCTGTCCTGATCGATGGGCGAGGAGGGGTGGCGGCAGAGGCGGGCGACTCGAGGCGGGTTAAAAGGGCAGCAGAGCGAAGACGCTGAGCCTCGGGATGGCGACCGGCCGTGGCTGAGACGGACGACGACGGTGGGTTAGGTAATTGATGACTGCGGAATTGGCGAGAAGGCGTCCAGTCACTTCGCTATCGCTCTTGGTGCTGTAGTCCTGTAATGCTCGCGCTCGCTGGCGCAACGGTAACAGGAATCTCTGGAATCCCGGCGGCGGCGGTTTCGGGGAAGGCGAAAGAAGAAGCTGGATTGGTCAGGGCCGGCGGGAGGAGCGCAAGTGAATGCGTCAGCCAGAGGGCGAGCGCGTGACGAGGCCGGAGCAAGACACGGGGCGGATGAGCGAGCAGTGAGTAATGGGCGCAATTGCAGTGACTGAATAGCTGATCTCGCTCACTGTCACGGACTGTGGCCTCTCGTCTTCTCCCGCCTTCGCTGCAGGTTGCAATTGCGAATTGGCTTCAATCGGGTCGACGACACACAGCAGCGTCTAGGTAGGTATGTAGTATGCGGTGCAGCAGCGCCTACATGTACTCGCTACGACAACAGCCTGCAAGTCCTGCTACCTCGCCCGATGGGTGCAATGCTCCAAGAAATGCGCGACAAATGCATCTGCCAGGGTGCAGGTACTTTGCTCCGTATCTCTCTCTCGATGCCTCTGCTCTGCTCTGCTCTGCTCTTCTCCGTTCACTCCCACGCCAGACCAGACCCAAACCGAGCCAAACCCCAAGGGGAGATACAAAAGGGACGCGAGGGGTACCGGGACGTGAGACGCACGACGAGGGGCTGTCGGCTGATGCGCAAAGTACCGCCCACGTACTCCCAGTCCGTTGTCGAGCAGCAGGGGCCCAGTCGCCTGGATCTGATTCTTTCTTCGCACCGGCTGTCCGTGCAGAATGACGACGAGTTACGGTTACGTTGCGGGGATGACGAACAAGGCGAGAGAAGAGAGTGTGAGCAATTCTTCGCCCTTCACGCAAACGAATGAGTCAAACTGCTGGATTGTGTTTGGCAAAAAGAGGCGAGCAAGGCTGATATATGGGACTCGGTGCCAGTTCCTGGTTTCTGTTCCCCCTCCCCCAAGCCCCAGCGCTGTACATGTAAGATGATGACAAGATGCTGCCGTTGGCGTGTCCGTAGGCTCGAGCCAGACGCGCAGGAGTGGCGACGAGCCTCAGGCGCTTACAGGAGCCGCGTGGAGGGAAAAAAGGCGGATGTTGCAGCAAACGACGGGAGATGCGGATTCGCCAACAAGTGCGGGCGAGACACGTATTAGTTTTTTTTTTTTCCACAGAGCGAGGGGGAACTCGAAAGAAACTGGGCAAAGGGAGAGAAAGAAAAAAAAAGCAAGGCAGAGTGGGAAGCGTGATGACACAGAATGATGATATGGCCGATGGATATTTGACGAGCGCCAACGACGAAACGGAAGACGATCTCTGCTGGCGATGAGATGGCACCGACCTCGTATGGGTGGGATTCTGGCGGTGAGAAGGGGTTTTTGTTGACTGGAGGGAGGAAGAGGCTAGCGAGGCCCTGTACTGTACTGTGCTCGACTTGATTCCGCTCCAACTGTGCTGCAACTTCGTACGATATGCGTGTAAGTCAGTCTCCGTCTGAACTGGAGTCCCAAGGGTCCTGGGGTCGGCAATTAAAGGTTGAAGCGACGCTGAATCATTGGATGCAGCAACGGCCCACTGATGACTGAGATAACGAGAGTCTTCCAGATGGCTGGAAAGAAGGCAATGGATCAGGAATAGCGAGAGGGAGAGAGCCCGAGAGCAGAAGCGAGATGCAGGCCGGGCGAGGTGAGATTGTGGAGAGAACGAGAATGCAACAGTGTCCCAAAGGAGGTGAGGCCGATGTGAGTATGCGAGTATGCTTGTTCGTCTGCATACAAGTATGTATGTATGTACAGTATCAGAGAGCGGGATTGAGTCGTCTCAATTGTTGCCCGCTTCCCGCTGCGAAGAATTCGTTGGTTGGGCAACCTGGGGAGCTCGCAATCCCTCGTGCGTTGCCGCGGAGGTTATTGTACAGATGGTGCTTGTTTTCACAGATGGAGGTTTGCTTCAGCCAGACAGGCTACGGCAGGCAATCATAGCTCCGACGACCACGGAGGCATACCTACATATGCCAGGTACACCATCAAGCGACAATCCATCGCGATCTTGCTGCCCAAACAGGACACACCTCAAAACAGCCTCAGGTACTCGTCCGGAGCACAGAGTATCGCCTCAACTACCCAGGTATCAACACCAACCACCACCACCACCACTACCACCGAGCATCACAGCCTGTCGCCCAGTCACAAGCAATCCTCCGTCACCGGCCACCCACTCGGCTACGCTCCCCCTTCCTATGGCCCAGCATCATTCGCTGTGCCGCATGAGCGTCTGTCTGCTCCATGTTCCCCGGGAGAGCCCCCTCCCATTCTGTTCGAACTTACATGCGGCTCTCGCCAATGACATTGCTGCTCCGCGGGCCCTCTCTGCCTCGATCCTCTTCCTTCTTGCCCCCCCCTTGATCATACCGGTGCTAGTAGTACTCCGTAGTGCTGTGGGAGAAAGGTTGTGCCGTCCAGTCAGTGGCATATGCGAGGCACCCAAGGCACCGTCGCCAGGCCACGATGCGTCCGCGATTTGGAACAGGCACCAGCGCGCCAAAGCACCGCGTCCTGTGCCTGGCGTCGTTCAAGGTGCGCGTTTGACACCGAGAACAAACCGGACGCGAACAACGGATGTGCCCCCTTCCTGTCTCCCAGAGCGACCATCTTTCACATTGCCCCGAATCCCAGCCATCATCAGACAAGCTGCTCATCGTAACTCTGGCATCTCATCCCCCCACCCGCTTTGCGCTTGAGATAGTCTGCAAGTAGTATTACACTGCCTATCAAGACCGTTGACCAGGGAGCGAGAGAAGCTGCATGCGAGCTACATGTAAGTGCTAGTAGTAGTAGATAACCTGTATCTGGGTATGTATGTACTTACATGCAACCCGATGCACGGAGCAGGCCGCGCACCAGCACTCATCCCTCCGTACAGTTCGATGTATGTACATGATACCTTACGATGTTGCTCCTCCTTGCCTCAATCCTCTTAGAGTGCCATGTGAGGCTCCATCTCCTCCGGACGTGAGCAATGTATGTACGACGCACGAAAGCACAGTCGCCCGCATCACGAGCCACCACTGACAAACCAAGTCCCATGGTGTACCTTACCGGGAAAATAAGCTAGGCTGCAAGTGTAGTAAAACTTATTACACTTATATAATAAGGAATAACGTTATATAAAAATTTAGTACTATATTAAATAACTAGTATTATATTTAATGCTAGTATTATAATTTTTACTAGTATTATAGTAAGTAGGTCTTTATAAAGTAATTTAATTAGTTAATAGAATTTAAATTATAGTTAATAATTAGCTAGTTAAATTATAAATCCCTACTTAATTTATACCTTTATATTTATATACTTCTTTAAATGCCTACTCCTAGGTATATTTTATCTTACTTTTAACTAATACTAATTAATATTACTACTTTAATAGTAAAGTACTAGCATATATTATTAGTTAAGGCTTATAATATTAATAGGCAGTTAAATTAATTAAAGCTAAGGTTAATCCTTATAATTTATATTAGTAAAGTGCTATATAAAGATACTTAAGCGATAAGACTAACCTTATATTCTCTTAAAGTGTATTATTAGCACTAGATACTACTTACTTATTAATATATTAGTTAAAGGCTATATTTAGAAATTTATTCTTATTCTTACCTTAAAGATGCTATAATTTAATTAATAAGAGTAAGTATTAACTAAGGCATAATATTAAGATATATATAAGTTTATAAACTAC